ATCCATCCATCCATCCATCCTCACAAACATTCACACCTACAGGCAATTTAACATCACCAGTTAACCTAACCCCACTAACTGCATTTTTCAGGACTGTGGTAGGAGGAAGAAATGATCCATACATACACAGGGGAGCATGCAAACTCGATACAGAAAGGCCAGGTGGAGGATTTGAACCCATCACCTTCTTGAGGCAACAGTGCTAACATATATAGCACAATTGGTGGTTAGATTGTATGTATAGATAGATAGACAGATCAATAATTTGTCTACTGTGGCACTGATTCAGATTTTAAAGCAGATTTTCTGTTGTTCAGGAGCCTGAATTATCACTTTTCTCAAAATCCCCCTGTGTATTCACAACCATTTATCACACATTTTTTCTTTCTTTATTTGGAGTAACGCTTTGCTCGGATGACAGCTCTGGGCTTTAATATGACTAATACACTATTTTTTTTTACTAGAAAAACTGTGTATTAAAAGACAATGTGAAAACAATGTGAAAGCTGTTTCTTGCAGCACTCAGCTGAGGTCTTCTCTCAGGAGTACAGACCAGAGGCAGAACTAAAAGAGAATGAATTTTTGACCTGTATTCACCAGATGACCAAAAACGCATCTTCAGATGAGCTAAAATTGAGTGCAGTGCTAGTTCTGTGTACCTCAGCCACAGTCAGCAGATTAGCTGATGCAACTGGGATACTCTCATATAGGGCATGCTATTTTCAGCTGTTTTAGTCTGCCTATGGTTAGAAAACACTGCAAGCCACTTTGCAACAAACCTCCACCTTTTACACATCTTTTGTCACTAATGCCCGCTCTCTTCCATCATTCCAGCTTTGCAAGTATGCACATGGAGGGGAGGTTCCATAACAGTTGTCTGTGTGGAAAACTGGACTTGTACACGTTAAACAATGTAGGGCGAATGAGGAAGACTGCAACAATTGTTTTTCTTCTCATTAGGGTCATTTTTGAGTGTTTTGAGAACCAGCAGTTTCCAGGATTTAGAATGGTACAATTATATAGGTATTGCTGTGAAACTGAATCTACAGGGTGTGAGTAAAAAGTGTTTGCATCTCACGCGAACTTTCTAAATGATACATTCAAAAGCTGTTTTTGTCTTTGACCTTAATTGGTGTCACAAGCCCAGTTTTTGTCACATTTTAATGCACTTAATCTTCACTTTGTGTCAGCCCCGCTCCTGAGGCCCATGCACATCAACCTAATTGTGCTTTATGAATCACTGGAAACAACAGTGTCTCTGTAAAAAACGACCCAAGGCTCTTTGAGGGTTGCACAGTACAGTAGAGCCACCCTGGTCCTGGGTGAAATAGCCCCATAGATCTTCATAAAGACACCACAGCTTCCTCCATCGCAGCAGCTGAGATCCATCTGAGTCACGCAGGTTCGCTGCAGTGTGTGTGTGTGTGTGTGTGTGTGTGTGTGTGTGTGTGTGTGTGTGTGTGTGTGTGTGTGTGTGTGTGTGTGTTTAAAAAAAAAACATAGCAGAAACAAAGAGGCTGGTGAGATTGTGACATGCCCAGCAGCAATCAGCGTTTGATGTGGGAGTCTACTGTATTCATCACACTCACCTCAGCGTGGAGAAGAGATGGAAGACGCTGTGTAAGGAAGACAGAGGGGAGGGAAAAGGTCACATACAGCATCAGACGAGGATAAGAAGAGTCCTCCGGAGAAGGAGAATTTCAATCTTACTGTCTAAATCAGCACAAACAACTTATAATGGTACTAATACAACAATATAATGCCAGGATTTTTTTTTCACATGTCTTACGCTGCAGTGGAAATGGAATTTAGAGCTATGATGAACTATCAGGCTTGTCCAGTAATAAAGTCAACACCAGGATCACCCAGTCCCCCACCAGCACAAGTCCTACATGTGTGGCAGTCTGTGGTTACTGTGTGGGCTTCTCTTATGGAAGGTCTAAGTACCCTTAAACCAGAGATTTTTGAATGAATCTGAATGATCTATTGGAAATTTATTTTCCCAACTCTTTGAAATCAAACACTTTCTAACTGAAAGAAGACTGTTATTAGGGACACTTCTCATAGACCTCACAGTAACCCTGTGAGGTCTATGAGAAGTGTCCCTGAGCCACGGTCGCCCCGTGGCTCAGGGGATTGGGAAGCGTATCTGTAACCGGAAGGTTGCCGGTTCGATCCCCGGGCTCTCTGTCCTGGTCGTTGTGTCCTTGGGTAGGACACTTTACCCTACTTGCCTACTGGTGTTACCCAGAGGGGCCGATGGCGCGATATGGCAGCCTCGCTTCTATCAGTCTGCCCCAGGGCAGCTGTGGTTACAACCATAGCTTGCCTCCACCAGTGTGTGAATGTGAGAGTGAATGAATAGTGGCATTGTAAAGCGCTTTGGGTGCCTTGAAAAGCGCTATATAAATCCAATCCATTATTATTATTATCATGTGGAAAGGTAATTACATCTCATTCTTTTCTTCTTTTTTTATGCTATTTTTAGACCAGTAAAGATCTTCTCCTTACTGATTACATCACTACAAAGCCATAAGGAAAACTAGCTTTTTCAGTCATTTATTAACAAAAAAGCAAGCAGAAAAAGTAAGCTTGGCATCAGGGTGTAGTTAATGGAAGCAAAACATTGGCTTGAATGGTGGAGGGGTTTTCTTGCATGTAATTCACTTTTAATACTGTGTCCCTTAAAGCTGTCTTTGGTGTGCACCAAGCATGTTTACCATGACTCTGTCATTGTCTTTCCATTCAATGGCAAACCGAAGCTTTGCTCTAATGTTGTGTTTGGACAGCAAAGGTTTTGTACCTGGTGCTGCTCTCATGTAGGTCAAATGCTTTCTGATTGTGAATGCATGCAGTTTCTGTGTCTGTGGAGAGGTCATCACAAGAGTTAGCTAGTAAATTAGACTTTATCAAGTAACTGAAGTGAAATTCAAAGTACCAAGTACCTGTACTCTCTATCAAAAAAGAAGTGGGCACTGATACTTGTGTGGTTGTTCCCTGGGAGAACACCCTGGACAGGTCACCAATCTATCACACAGAGAAAGACAGCCATTCATGTTCAAATTCAAACCAATTTAAGCATGAATTTTCAAATCAGTGTGAAGGCAATTCATCACCATTTAACCTGACCCCATGCTTGTCTTTGAGAGAGATCCTGGAGGAACCCATGAAGAATCCACACAGAAAAGACCAGACTGGACTCGAACCCAGGACCTTCTTGCTGCGACGGGACTGTGCTAACCACTGCTTCACAAAAACAAAACAATTAAATAATAACATTTTAAAAAATATTATTGGATAGATCAATAGACGGATAATGATGATTTTAAAATATAAAAAAATATATAGATGTATGCTAAAGTGTAAGCACAACAGCTATAGAAAGCACATATATTATTGGTTTTTTTTTTGTATTTTTCTATGGGAATCGATGTAAATACAGCCATGCAATTTCGACCATTTAGAATCAACAGCAGCTGTTTACTTCTGATAGAGAAGCAAACAGCTTCCATACGATAGCCCTAGCCCATCTCTGAAAACCCACTGCAACAGAAATATGTTGCACTTCCTTTGCAACAGCTCAGTAGGTGCATAACTAAGAAAGACATACTAAGAGGTTACCATATGATTTTATTTATTTTTTATTCAGAAGGTGCTGTGAAGTTCACTGGGCTAAGTGGAGCATGGGTTAAGAAGAGCATTATTTTGAGGCTGAGTATTGGGGGTTATTCGAACTCATTGCCTTGAGGCCAAGAGAGAGACACTGAGAACCAGTTTAGAGTCCATCCTATTCTTAAGCTCCATGGCCTAAAGAAAATCTGGTTTATTAGACTGAGTTAATACCTAGAAACAAAACCAAATTTTCCTGTTGTCGAGCAAATCCACTTCTCTCAGACGGATGGACGTCACTGTCACATCCGTTAGGTTAGCCCTAATGACAGAAATGCATATAAGAACATGTTATATATATTATAATAAATGACTAGAATGGAGGGAGGGGTGCTATTTGTGTTTAACAATACCAAAATAAGGAGTTTGGCTTTTAGAAATGATTCTGAAGGCTGATGGCTCCCTCTGCTGTTGATATATAATATCCAGGCACTCTCCATGCTGCACACACTCTTTCAGCAGTTTGGACACTTCAACAAGATGCAGCCATTTTAATATTATCATAACACCTCTGTTCTTCCTGATATGAGAAAAATTAACTCTTTGTAGTTTTAGCTTAGATGTGGTGTACGTGAAGGCCAGCATAATGGCAAAACTGTCCTGAATTCAGAGCTGTGGTGGTGTTTTGTCTGCCGGTTAAATATTTTAGAAATGTACACAAACAGATCACAAATTCACGGAACCATTTACTGACACAAAAATAATTTAATATACAGTTTTTATAATAATATATATGATGAAATATTCATAAAGACAACAGGTACTGAAACTGACATTATCATTAGTTAATACAGTTAATACAGGTAATGATAATTGCAATCCTTAAAACAGGAGCAAGAAGTTGCAAAATACATGTGTGTGTGTGTGTGTGTGTAATATAAATATATGTATGACACTACAAATATGTGATATGATGATAGATTTGCCTGGGATTTATATCTTGCTAAAGCTAGTCCCTCTATCAGGCACCTTTGGGAGCCACTAGTTGTTCAAAGTGCCACTGTTGTCTGGGGTGGTGGGTGCACTGGCGCAGGAAAAGACCTCCTGTGCTGCGCTTGTTGTCGCCTTCCTCTTTTACAGCCTCCAGACATAACTGAGACAGTTGGTGAACGAGCTGGCCGCTCAGCTGTGGAAAAGTGGAAAACATATGCAGAGAGTCAGCTAAATGCCCCGGGTAGTCATAAAAACTGCCTGTCGCTCAATTCTTCGTCTTGCCTTTATGAACTTCCACTGGAGTCTGCCGGGGGTCAATCGGTGGCTGGCGCAAGGAGAGAGGACCGCCCTCTCTCCCTCAGTATCCAAGCACAAAGTCCCCGTGGGACCCCATCGCACTTCACCCTCAGAGTTTAGATCACAGTGCTACAACAGCAAGAGATCAGCTTCACTGATGTCTCACTTATCTGTTGTTATCATCAAGTAATCTGTAATCATGGTTACCTGGCTACCTGTCCCAGTGCACGGGGCCACATCCATGGCCCCACCCTGCAGTCCCCGACCTTGGGGATAGTCTGCACATCTGCCAGTACCAACACTGTACAGCTGCAAGCAGATACAGACATGATGCCTCACAGTCCATCCATACACAACTTGTTCATATATTCGTGTGCATGTATGAGCATGTGAGAGCTTGTGATACCTCTCCTGACAGTGCAGTTTTGTCCTGGGGGATATAAAGCTGTGGGTAGACTGTAGTTAGGAACCAGTGAAAGTTCCTACAGCCCAGACTCCTCTTGAGCCGCAGACGCTCCGTGATGTTTGGGTTTTCAGACTGGACAAAGAAAGAAAGTTTCATTTTTTGTATGTGGTGCACACTCACCAGACAATCTCTTGACCAGATGTGTTGACTCACACACGCACACACACATACACACAAACACCTGTCTGATGAAATGAGCAAGCGTGTCCCTTCTGTAGTAGATTTTCTTGTACGTGTCCATCCAGGTTTCAGCAATCCGGATCTTGTTCCTCTGAAGCAAGTCCTGATCTGGGAAGCGATACGGCAGGTGGCGGCGAATGAGGTGGCCCACGCGGGAGCAAGGTACCACCTCCATGGAGCCGCCGCATGACCACACCTATAAGAATGTAGTAGTATTTCAGTAATAAAGATTATAATTGTTTTCTGTGTTTCTTTTTTTTTTTATTCCCCGTTTGTTAGTCATATTGTTTCATATTTTAATGGTCATCCCAGGCAGACAAGTTGATTTATAACATTTTTGCTCTCACACTGGTACATTCATCAGTGGGCCAGGACATTCCCAGACCACTATCCAAGCTGAAATTTCCATTTGCAAAAGGCATCATCTCATAGCACAGCAATCCTAAAGCACTAACAGAAGGCAACCGAATCACTCAGGCAAAGTATTGCTAAAATACCTTACATGGCTTAAAATAAAAAGCAAATGCAGTCTGTCATCTCTCTGTCTGGTGTGTGTGCACTGGAGGATTTAGCAGGAAAGTTGACATCAAATGAGCTTTCCTTTACCCGGATTGACAGCTCAATTTGCTCTGCACCCCATAGCACCATCCCAGGGTCATAGGCTCCCACGCTCTGGAAGAAATGTCGGTCGATAGCCACAACTCCACCTCCTAACGCTGGGCTCCTGTCACAATCAGAACCAGCATCATTTTTTTTAAAAAGAACTGCATGGATGTGTTGGTATCTCTGGAGTAGAGTGACATAATGAACTTCAGGATGTTAAAGTCTGGGTTTGCAACACAAGGACAAACAGCTCCACATGTATGGTCCTTAGTTTTTATACTTCTGTATTCTAATTGGTCATATTTTCGAGACTTTTCAAAGGCAAAGGTCAGTTATGCACTTACACATACCGTGTAAAATTATATCTGATCCGTCTTTCTTAATATGGTTCATTTAGCATTGTTATCATGCAAATAAGAACTCATTAAATCTAACTTGCACCCCTTAACAGCTGCACACTTACTGCAGAGGTTGGACAGCCATCTCTGGGTCTTTATCTTGCAACTCTGGATTTGATTCCCAAAAGAAGTCAAGTCTCCAGTCGAACACCCCCCTAATTGGCCACTGGGTGGCATTGTACCGAAAGGACTGCCAGTCTATCACATCCATGATGGGGGACACCACTCTGGTCCTAAGAAGACACCACATTCTGGATCTCAGCAACTCTTTTTATTTGCATTTATTAAGTGTGGTGAATTAGACTTTGGATGTAAAGCATGCCACTACTAGTCAAGTTATAGCTAATAACTCCTTGACTACGTTTACATTTACTAATCTGTGCACAACTAGGTCAAATAGACACTGCGTTTTCATTTCTGTATGCATGTGTTTGTAATTGCAAACGCCGGCTGTGTCACAGGAAGTTCAGAAACATGTACTGTCCTTTGTCGAGGAATGTTTTGGCTCCCCATGTGTGCTGTCTGAAATATCCATGCCAAATGATCATGTGTGGCGTGATGCTTTAAGGAAATGAAAAGATCAAAAAGGGAATTGAGAAAAAAATGGGAGTGGGGTCAAACATGTGGCCGAGAGAGCCGAATGGTTGCAGATTCCAAGCCCGAGCCCTCTGCTTAATTACCTAGTCTAATTAGAGCCACGCTGCAGGCAGCCTGAGACATAAGACGAGAGCCAAATCATGGGAGCTCAGTGCTCGATACACACACATACACCTCATGCATCGCCCTGCTTTGCTAATGAGTAAGGGCGAATGATAAGTCTGAACCCTTCATCTCCTCACAAGTGTTTCTGTCCAAAGGCTGAACTCATTAGAGAAAGTTAAAAAAAAATCTGGCACAGTACCTGTTTATATTTTGACATGTCACCCATTTAAGAACTTGCATTTGGAATCCTGTTAGTATGCAGCATACTAACAGGAGCTTTCTCGCCGTAAAATATGAAAATAGATTTTTAATTGGAATAATTAAAAAAAAAAAGTACCTGTCCTGGGCAATTCTCTCCAACAGCGGTTCCAGCCAGCCCTTTTGGCATTCACAGTGGGAGTCCATGAACACCAGCACCTCCCCAACAGCCCTGGTAGCACCTAATGTCCGGCAACCTCCAACCCCGAGGCGTTTGGTGCTGCGAATCAAACGCACTCCATCCAGATGAGACACGTACTCACTCAGCCCAGTCTTCAGGTGACCTAGGAGGAGCATAGAGAAAAGGCGGAACAAGCTGTCAGCACACTGAATTAATGGATGGATGGATGGATGGATGGATGGATGGATGGATGGATGGATGGATAATTTCACCCTGTTGACTTAGGTCGTCCACCAGCAGGACCTCCTGCAGATACTGTTTAGGTGCAGTGTCGAGGACACTGTGTACTGTGCGTAGGAGAGTGGACCAAGCCTCGTCATTAAAACAGATAACAACACTGGCCGATGGCAGAGACTCGATGTGTTGCTCCCCCAAACACCTGTTGATGGGAGGGGGACAAATTGTGAAAGCAGTAACAACTACACTAACTTTTAGCACTTGTTGAACTCCAGTATGGGCTAACTTTTGGTTTATATTTTCAATCGTGCGCTTTGTTCACTCACTCTGGATGGCGCGCCTCTGGCAGCCTGCGATGCAGAGAAATCCTTTCGCTCACTACCTCATTGAAACCGTACTGCTGCAAAGCCCTGAGCTCCATATCCCTCTCCAAACCCTCCAGATGAAGGCGCACTGCTTTCCCCATTTCACCGTGCGTAGGTGGCCCGCGTACGGTGGTATCTTTACTTGCTCCGGGAAGGAGCATCTTGTAACTCCGCTTTTTCTGTGGCGAGCTCTTGGTGCCATGTATGGATGGGACGAATAACAGCTGGTCTTCTTGCAGAGATTTCAGAGGAGTCAAATCGGCGCCTAGCTCCAAAGCAGGGTCATGGGAGTCCACGATGACCTCTAGATCCGGAGGACTGGCGATCCGCTGGAGGGGCTGGCGGGGAGGGCCGGGTTTGTGACGATTGCGGTCGCTGTCCCGATTAAAGAGATCAGAGAGCGCCAGCGCAACCAGAGCGAATCCGATGAGCAGCAGCCAGAGGCAGAGCATCTTCCTCCGGACGGCGCTCCTCCGCCTCATGCTGAGCGACGGCGCAGGAGGCGTGAGACTGTGCTCAGAAGGCGGCCCGGTGCTGTTTTGAATTGCAGATGTGTTTGTTTTGCTTCATCTTGACGAGCACTGCATTTCATCAGCGTGATGCAACTAGAATGATTCAAGAAATAAATAGATCGCACACGAATCCCCTGAAGAAGAGTAGAGGCGCATTCATTGAGTACCAGAGCTGGGACAAGAGTGACATACAGTGCAGGTTTGAGACAAGTTCTCAACTTTGAGATGATGGAGTTTCGCTGACTTTGTCTTTCATCCAGCTCCTCCCGCGGTCCTAGAGCCTGTGCAAAATATTTTGCGTCATGTAAATCATGTAAAGGTGGTCACTTCCTGTATCCACCTGTTACTCAACCTGCTCAGGTCTTCGTCTCTACTTCATAACAAGAGGGATTAAAAGATAATTTTAGAAAAAATATAATTAAGAAAATTCTCCAGAACGCACAGAGTAGTATACACTTATTGCTTTTCACTTTCCATCGCAATAAAAATACAATGTTTAAAGTTTAGGAAGTCTACTTGGCTCAGACGCCGTATTAGTATTGTCTTCTTGTCATCTTATTATTCCTGAAACGCTTTGTGGGGAATCCTAAAATACTCTAAATTAAGTGGTAAAAGCCATAATTAGCCATTTCAAAACACATTTTTACTAGCTGGTGTGCTCAGTTATAAATAAGTCCGCACTGCAGTGGAAAGACACAATGTTTTTACATTTCCTCCAGTCTGTGTGTGAGAGTCTGCTTGTAGCAGGCGTCTCCCTCCGGGCGTCACACATCAAAGACGCTTCCTCTGGCCAGCTGGCTTCGGGCCTCCGGGTCCCATGACCGTCTGTTGGTGCCGGGAAGCGGGGCGTTCACGGCTTCGATCTCCTTGGTTCTCTGTGGAGATCTTGGCAGCCAGTCTTAAAGAAAGTAAAGACCGAATGACTTGGGTCCGCGTGTTTATTTTATTGTTTTCTTTTTCGACAAGTGGAAATGTGCATGCTTGTGTGTTGTCATAAACTTGTTTTTGGTATTCTATGAATGGAATTTCCCACACCACAAAACTGAACTGCTGAAGAAAAAGAAAAACACTCGGAGCATGCCCATATATCATGTAAAGGTTTGAGTGGAAAATTGGCAAAAACTAAAGCCTAATAATTTCCTAATACATTATGATAATGGCATTAGAAGGTCAGACTGTGCACATCACAAACCCTTCTGCGTCTTCTGCGCCATGGCAGCTTCTCTGCTTCTGCTCTGTATTGTGGCTAACATCTGCGAGAAAGACCTCCATACAAGCTGGCAGGAAAGCCTGAGGAGCTTTAAGAGCTTAGGTCGGCTGCACTGAGAGACCAGTTCACTGTCCTGGTGGCAGTGGCTCTCTTAAAGCTCCATTGCAGGCTTAATGAGTGTGTTATAGACCACACAAGGACACTTCACGTCTCCTGGATGATAGCGTAGAGTGCCTTCTGATAATTATGATTATAGTTTCAAGAACTGGGACAGAGCACTTGGAGAGACAGGCTGACAAGTTGAAAGGCCAAAAGAGAGAGAGAAGGGGTGTGTGTGTGGTGGGGGGGGGGGGGGGGGGTGAAAGAGGGAAATCGAAGATGAGAAAGAGCGGTGACCGGGTCCTGACTCCAGTGTTCTGGTGGGAATGTGTTTACGCGCCTCGGGGTTGGAAAAGAAAGAATGTCTCTGTGTAGCTCCAGCTCTGCGCAGTGAACAGTCTCATATGTTCCACTGTGCGGCCAAAACACACGCCGAATTAAAGTTTCCACCGCCAGCACGTTTTCAGACAAGCGCGCAAACACCAAAGGATCACACGCACACGCGCGAGCGCGCACACAGACACATTGAAGATCCTGTCCACATTCCCAGGAATGTTTCTGCATTCCTCCATCCAGTCCACCAGCTAGAAGCCAGAGCTGTAAATGAGACGGCACGACAGTGAGAGAGAAAGGGGAAGGGGGGGGGGGATAAAGGGACTGCTGGCTGCACAGTTGGCTTGTTTTTCAATCATATTTCTGTCTTTTACAACCTGGAGCACTTTTTATTCTCTGGGCTGCATAGAAGACAAGCAGACAGAGACATATTTTTGTGCAGGCTGGACAAATAATACACATTTGGGTTACTTTTAAAAGTTGAACCATCGATAATTAACGTGTTCCAGCTTTACCGTTTTCTGTAAATAAACTGCATTTGTCGGGGGTTTGAACTTGAGGATATAAAAACATTTCAGAATTTCACTAAAATTGATTTTTTTATTATAGCAAAGGACTTGAATGAATGTAGAAACTAATCAGGAGGTTCATTAATAATGAAAACAACATATGCAGAATCAGAATAAACACTTAATTTTTAGTGTTCAGTAACGTTTTACTGAACCCTGGAAATGATCAAGAGTTGATCTGATTCGAGAGGAATGGGGTTTAGTAACAGGCTGCATGAGAAGCTGCGGAGGGGTGCTTCCCTCTACTGGAGAAAGTCGGTATTGCAAGTAATGGATGTTTCCCTGTTTGGTTGATTAAAAAAAGAAGAAGAATCTAAGGATCCGCACTGTAGTGTCATTTTAAGAAAAGTCGTGATAAATGTGCTTCCCTGTGAGAATTTTAACACAACAAGTGTAAAAAAAAAAAAGCACAAATTTTAATTTCAGAATTTCAAAACAAAGCATGTTGGATCAAAGAAATATAACATGTTACGTGCCGTTTTTAAACATCTGCTCTAATAATGTTTTCTTCAAGAGCTTCTGTCAGATCCCGTGGTCTTGATCAGTGGCCATCAGTGTTTCGTTTATCAATGCAGCTTTTCCAAGCTGCTGAATGTCTGGTGGCTTTATTCTGACATGTGACAGCAATTAACCGCCACAATGACTTTCTTCCTTTTTTTTTTTATTCAAATTGTGGTGTCCTCGGACCAATAATGGTCCCTAGGTGAGTGGCAAACAAGTATATGGGAATACCGAGGACACCACAAAGGTTTTAATGAATTAAAACACAGATTTCACTCGAATGCCAACAGATTCTGAAGCTCGATATCTAAAACATGCAAAGCAGATCTCAGCGCTTTAAAGGAGGTCACTATTGGAGCTCTCCCAACAACTGAACCGATTAAAATTCGCAAAATTGCAGGCGACCACGCCTGTCGGCCGGGGGGATTTGTCACAATCAACACCCCGGATTTTTAGATCTAAGTTTTTTTGTTTCTATTTATTTGTTTGTTTCTTGTGTTTTTATTTATTTATTTTAAAAACGTAATTCTTTAGAAACCTTGTCTGCTGACATTGCTTTGCTTTTCTATGCTTGAAATCGCACGACCCAGCAAGGACACACAATTTATTCAAGCTCCTTCTCTTTTGTTTCTGCTTTTATTTATTTAAATAGAGACGAATAATTGCTTTATTTTCAGTATTTTGTCCATTAATACCATTGCTAGAAATATTCCGCGTGAGCTATTTGTTCGTTCAGACTCCGCTGACTTTTGAACCCAGTTTTAAGAAATCTGTTTGCACGCGAGGATCCCTTTGTAACCCTTTTCCAAACTCTCTTGTGACAGCAGCTGCAGCAGCAGACCTGCCGTGAACAGTGACTTTCATCACATGGTGGATGGTGTCGAAAGCGAACACGACGCAGAAGGAACATTAGGCATCCCTTCTGCTTTTTTAGGGTTCATCTGTGGCGCAACCTCCACGCGCGGAGTGAGGTGTCTCAGCATGATTCCGATTCATCGTGATAAACATTTCAGTCATGTGTGCACAGCTCTCACGCGTGGACTTTATCTGTTATCGGACTTCCGTGGCAGAACTTAAGGAAAATATAATATTATAAGAAGATATCCAGGCTTCCTAATGTAATTATATAGTTACATGATCCGACTAAATCACACACAAAACCCTCTTTTTATATATTTAAGAAAAACATTGTTGTTTGATCAAAATTTTATTATCTAATGAAGTTAATAAAACTTCTCAAATTTGAGAACAAAGAAGGGACAAAAAACGATATAATTAAAACATATTTATTGTGGACAATGTGCTGCCGTGTTAATTAACAATTAAAAAATCGACTACATTAAACAATAAAAAACAGAAATGATAAACTGGGGAAAAATAAAATAAACAGATTAACACGAAAGGGAATAACACTTCTAAAAAACGCAAGAGTATGAAAGATTGAGCAGATTAAAAGTCACTGAACTTTTTGTCAAATGGGAGAGAAAGAAGAGGATGAGCATGCGCACGGTGCAGTCCGCGCGCATCTCGTCTCTCATGAGTTTCCTGAGTTTGGGGGACTAATGAGTGATGAGATGCGTCTCGTTAGGAAACATCACATGTTTGTGCGCTCAGCGGAGCCACTTTAAATTAGTAGACAGCGGGACAAACGGAGGGGTAGTACTGGGAAATCCGGACGAGGAGAAAGAGGGACACGCTGTGTCGGCGCACAGAGACACTATTCGTGGGTACTTAAAGCTGCAGAGACGACTGTTTTTACCCCCCACGGACGAGTGAAAATGAAAGCCTGGCAGTATGTTTCCCTCCTGGCTTGTGCCTGCTTTCTTTATCAAGCTGATGGACGCAAAAGTAAGTGGCGCAACTTTGGAATAGTTTGAAGTGAAAGAGTTGTGGCTGTGGTTTAAAAATGTTGGTTTATTGATTTCAGATTTTTAATTTAATGTCTTTACGTGAATTGAATAATTTTGGTGTTTGATGTTTATCTCCTAGGGTTGTTTGTTTATTCATTTGTTTATTTAACTCGTCCTGCCATCCGCTCTCTACAGTCAGAGTCCCATGAGACTGATTAAGGCGTGTGCTCCGTTAAGACTGCTACTCACTCCACAAACAGACAATTCTCTACATCCAGAAAAAAAACGGAGAAATCGTAGCTTTCTCTAATTTGTTATCATAACCAGATGGAATCCCGTAAAAAGTTTTAACAATCTTTTTCCTCCGGTATCATAAAAAAAGCAAATGTGACATTAATTTAATAAATGCAAATTTAAAATCACCTTTCCCCCTCTATTTTCACGCCATGCGCTCTCTTGGCTGAATAAATTTGTTTGCGTACAGACGTTCCAGATGTTTGGTTCGTTTTTTTTCTTCGCCTTTAACCAGATTACACAGATTGAATTTGTTTTTGCGCTGAAAAATATGTCACTCAGGCTAAATGACGAGAAAGCAGAAAACAAGGGCGTGGAGATCCGAAT